TCACATCACTATGTTAAATGCCATAGGCAACAATTATGCTGATAAATATAGCTATGATCAACCGTATCAGGAGAGAGAAAAATATATTCAATGAGAATGGATGACGGTTGCGCAATATCGACTTTTATCTAAAGTTAAACATGCAAACCAATGCGTTTCATGTGAGTGGCCTACAGGTTTAACACTAGAAATGAAACCATTAAGTCCTGATACTAGGTAGAGTTGTGGTTAGTCACTGTTTAAGAATTCCATGCTAGAATGAAACGATCGTCCAGCGTTTCCTAAATTTTAAAGGTTTTCTAACTATGATCTGTCCCGAATATAAACTTTCAAATTCAACAATCTCCAAAAGCATCTTTAACAATCAGTTATTTCTTCAAAAACTCATCCTTATTCACAAACAAGAGAAGCAACTTGTTCACTTACTCTCTTATACTTCCCAAACTGAAAAAGATGTCTACACTGGTTTTGAGGATTTTTACTGTGATTATGTTGATACTTAGAAGAAATAAGGTGGTGCTATTTTGCTTACAGTAGAAATCTATCAATCGCTAGTATTCTTGAATTAATCATCTTAACTAATATGAGCAAATGAATAATCTTAACTCTATATTAAAACCATCATCAAACTTCAAACATTTTTTTCAGTTTGATAAACTGCACTTTTTAAGTTCATCCCATCTTCATAATGCCCCTAGGCACAAAAGTAGAGAAATTAGTTTATTCTGCTGTGACATCACACAGGACATCTATTATAAGCCTACTCATTAACGGAAAACGTATGCATCTTCTAAACCTCAGTATATCCACTAATATATTGATATTGTACTTTTAATCAATCATCACAAACATTGATGCATTTTATGCCTTAAAAGCACCATTCATTGAATAAAGTTATATTCCAGTATGACATCCAAATCTCTAATTACCACATTTATGATTGAAGATGTGATGAAAGCCAGTGACAGGTAACAAAATGTACAAAAAACAAAAACATAATGGTATAAAGAATGTAGCCCCCAAGTGTTTAGCGTAAACTAGTAAATACTAGTGAAATAAAATAATCTTTCGAATGGTTTAGACGAGTGTATTTATGTGGTATTTTTTTTGTTTTGTAGTGATTAGTTTATTGGTTCTTTAAAAAGCAGAAAATGTTATTTCATAGTTCAAAAAACATCTATAGTTAAACTTGTTGAAAAATAAGTTCTGAACACTTACTAAACTCAGTGTTTAAATCATTCACCAGGTATAGGCTTAGGTGCCGGAGTTAGAGTCAAATATTTATTTTAGGGCCGATGATACCCAACTTTCCAAAATGAAATGGAGTTATGATCTATCCTGTAACCCGCTGGTCAAAATTTGACTACTTTAAACACAGAACGACCCTATTAAATGATGGGTAATTAAGAAATTGTTTATTTCTATCATAATTGATGTATGGTAACCACTGAGTTCTTTATTTTAGGAATTAGCGATTGTCTAGCTCTACACTTGTCTGGAAATATTTGGATTCAAAATATTTAAAGACTATCTAGGTTTCAACATGGCTAAGACATACTTTTCAGAGGAAAAGAACTGGTTTTAAGTTTACTACAATAAAAAACAAAAATAAGCAAAACTTTCTTAAACTGTCTACTGAGTTTTGCTTTAATGAGTTCGTCAAATTCAGCTTAATTTCCTGAACGATATTCACACACGTAGTCAGCCAGTGGTCCTGTCTTTTGATAGCAAATTATAGGTAAAACCATCTCGAATTATTTCAGAATTTCATCAAACCGACTGAGCTATCGTAAGTGATTACGATGTAGCGGTTAACAAGTCCACAAAATCAATAGCTATGCAAGTCTTTGACATTTGACACTGGCCGCATTAGTTTTAATGGACTCACCTAACTGAATCCGTTTGATCACGCATCCGCACCATATCACGAGTGGGTACACCATGCTACACATCTACGACCGCTACCCAGCCTATTAAATATATCTTCGAACCTCTTCGCTTCTGACTTTTGATTTGACTGGATTGGCACATTTCGATTATAAAAGGTGTTACGGGTTAGGCATTGTCAAACTCCAAATATCTGTGGCATCTTTAACGAGAACATCTGCTAGGCTACCTTTACGCTGGAGCTCCTTCATTCAATTTTTTAAGCACACAAACTAAACAACTCATTCTTTTATAATGACACGAAACGAGCTTTCAAATATTGTTCCCAAGATTATTTTAGTAGTTATAATCAGCATGTAGTTCGGTAAAACTATTAATCAACCTAAGTTCCTATAACGAACGAGCATGATGAGATAAAATTTACGAAATGAATTCCACAGAAATTGAGATGATCTTTATACTAATAACAGTAAATATGACTACGAATCGAGTATACGGTGAAAAAATAAAGAATGTATCTGATAATACTAAAACTCAAAACCCAGAAAGAAATAAAAAGTAAACGCTCCTGTTCGACTGCATTTAAACTTAAGATAAGCCATACTATATCTCCAATAAGTGATTGTAGTTATTGGCCAGGCACCGAGCATGTAATCTGCTCAATATAAATTATCAGATGAGTTCAGAAATTCTGCAGACATCAGTCATAGGTTCTATTTCGAAAAAAATTTCAGTGATGAAGTTTAACTAATCCACGCTGTCTAATAGTCCTAGTTTTTTATAGAAGATCTTAATATCTTTAAGTTTTCCAACATTAAAGTAATAGAACTGAGTAATATCATTTAAATATTTACATAATCAGCAATGAGTTATAATGTTGGATGATGGTTAGTTAAATTATTCATTGACAATTTCATTGATGTAGTTCTAGCCTAAAACTTAATAACTGAAAATATTATCCTTTAACTAACTAACTAACCACAATTACATACAGAGATTTATTAGCAAATAGACATACATTCATTACATAAATCTTCCCAATTTCCCAAATTCGAAACCAGAGACTTTTGACGGAGAGTCTGAGTTACAACTTATCTAGCAAGAGAAAATAATAGTTAGTTTATAATAAATATAAATTTCTTTGAGACTATCAAATCCAAGCCTGACATTGATACCTATAACAGTTAGTTTAGTACCAACTTCATACTCAACCATTAAAGTAATGAACTGGGTTGCAGTATTAGATGATCTAACAACTCATCAGTTTATAAAGAATGAATTTTAATCAAAGGAATTAATAATTTTTTCGACGTAAAGCACTTAGAATAAAATTTAAATAATCTCGTTTGTTTTAGTCCAACTTCAACTTATTAAGAGAAACGTACCGTAGTGAATTTGTACAAGTCTTACTGTAAACATGTTTTATCGGTATTAAATTACTTGGCAACGAACACGCCATACATTGAAAACTATTTTTCTATTCACTAATTATTTGAATTCATGTGCTGACATGAAAATATTATTTTGTCGAATAGAGAACAATTTCGATACTGAACTGTCCATTACGATGAGTTATAATATATCTAAGATTATGGTGACTAACAATTGATTGTTGTATTACAGAATTGTGACAAATAAAATAATGAGTAAGTCATGATTACTACGATATTTTAAAAATGTAATTACAGTCGGTAGATAACAAGATAAACATCTAAAAAGTATAACTGTAAGTCATAACGTAGGACAAGTGATGTTGTGTTTGAGTATAGGCGTCTTTACAGTTTATCGCGCATATGTATGTATAAAATATTTCTTTTATTTAAACAATAACCATTATTGTTCCGACTACATTCGATTGATAAGTACAACTATTGACTTATAGGAGTTTGAATAATCACCATTACTATTGACAATGTATGTTTTCCTTGTTGATTGATAATTGGATGATTTCCTTACTGTTTACAGATTTGTCAGAGAAATAAATTATAATTCCTTAGTCCTCACTATATCTCCTTATTCGACACTGACTAATGTACAGTAGATTGGTAGTATTCATCACGTTAGCTTTTCAGATTCCATGCATTTGAAATTATTCTTATTAATTTCTCTTGTGAGTTATTACATCTACCTAAACATTAATTAACATACATTTTTGGACCTCAGTTGAGTGGGGGATATTATTTTTTTTTAATCTAAAACCACATACTTTAGTCTGGTCGCCCTGATGACTTTTTGTCAAGTATGATTTCTTAAAACGCTAAGCTTCGCGACACTAGATCATTATTGTCGAAGAACGTGACAAACTTGGTAGGAGAAACATTTATGAAATCACATAAACACCGTATTGTTTCTTAAAGCACAGATAATAAAAACAACTTCCGTAACCAATCCGTAATCCATCGGTCAACTACTAAACGATATGTAGTCAGATCATAGAAATCTACCCCAGCTAAGAAACCATATAGTCAATATTGAATACCCTCTATCCGATCACCATTTGATCAATTTATTGCAATCATACCTTATAGACCTATTTTTGCTTGATCGTCAAACCCCTTCCCCTCTGTAATTAACAGATTCTTTATTTTTATGATTTTTTAATGTATTTCCTATTATATTTAACCCATTTCATGATTAATTACCTTAACATCTTATGAACACATAGTGGTATTTAAGTATGCCATCAAAACAAAACCCTGATTATCCTAGGTGGCTGGAAGCAATCAACAGGAACTCCGAGAACTAGGTTTCGCGCTAATCAGTACCATTTAATAAAGTGTGTCTGAAGTCAAGACGGATTATGTTATTTTAAGGGACTCTAAACTGACCAACAAAATTAGGTCTGTCTGTACTATGAAGCGATTAAACAGAATGATATACCCCTAAATAATCAACTTATTTAAGACTAGTACATTCATAACTTAAAAGCAAGCTGCTTTGTTCGCTTTTATTAGTCAGTTTCTGACTAGTTTTGGAAACCTGAGTAATGTAATAAGAACAGTCGATATGTTGGATAAAATTAGCTTTAAAAACGTATTACTTGTACACCACTTTTCGTTTATATGACCGGGAAATAAATTATACTAAATGTTAGTATATTTCCATTGGTTAAACGGTGGTTAACTCTTTAAAAAAAACAGCCTACTATAGAGAATACATTTGTATAATGTGCCTTTCCCTATGAAGCACATATGATAATAATTGTACTAAATAAACTGCTTCTCCATCAGTTGAATACACTATTGCAAATGAATACAATTTAATAAATAAACTATAATCCGAAAATGTACAAAGTAATAATATATTACGTGTATTGTGAACTGTTTACCGAAATTTTTAAAAATGTACATTATATTTCAAGTTAAGTCATATCACCACTGTCATAGTTAAATAGTACATAAAGTGAGGAGATCAAAATCCACTTATCTGTTATGCAATCATCAGTCACAAAATTAATTGTGAGCAAATATATAAATAACAAAAAACACTGAGGAAAAAAAAAGGATTGACAATCCACTAATGTGAACATGGAAATAAAGAATGAAGAAAACAATGAACATACATCTTGAAATTCCAAAATAGCAAATAATGAATATAATCCACATGGTATCAATACAAAAAACAACGCTTAAAAAATCATATTTCTGAAGCATCTATATAGATCTGTTGATAATGCACAAATTTAACAGATAGACTGAAAATAAAAAGGCAATAATAATAATAACAGTGTAGAATATAATAAACATCAAAATGATTTGCAGGATCCAAACAGAGAGGAGAGGGTGGGAAAGCAGAAAGGAAGGGAAGAATAAAGTTACATTGAGCAACGATGACCCAACACGTTTTCATCCAAAAGTGAGCTTTGAGAAAAAAAGGAAGAAAAAGAAATATACGAGGAATATACTTCGAATATAATATACACGAATAGAAACAGTCATTTTAAATTACTGACTTTATTGGAACGACCAAGTTTCTCAAGTTTACAAACATAACCTGAACATATTGTTAACCACTTAAATGAAATTGTATTGTATTACCCTTAAAAATGTAGATGAACTGGGTCTAACACCGAAGATAAATGATCAAGTTTCTATACAATCACTGGTTCTTCCTCTCAAATCTTCCTGAAGAGAGCACGGAACATTAATACAATTACCTCTATGTCTGGCATTAGTGTTTTAGTCAGTATGTTGTTCAGTCCCCCTTTCGATCTGTCCGATGGTTACGCTGATTTTTTTGGTTGCTGGTAAGATAACATCTATAGGAAGGTCTGCGTGTGCTGCTTCGATGTTCAGTGGGACTGGCCTATTCAAGAGTTCTTCAAAGTGACCTACCCATCTGTTCCGCTGTGTTTGGATCTCAGTGATTGGTCTGTTTTCTTTGTCCTTGATAGGTTACTTTGGTTTACTATATTTTTCGAATAGCCTCTTCATTGTATCATATAGTTGTCCCATATTTCCTTCTCTTACAGCTTTTTCTAGTGTCATTGTTAGATCTTCTACATACTTACTCTTTTCATACTTAATGCTTCTCTTTTGTTTGTTTGCTTCAGTGCATCTAGCCTGAGGCTTGACCGCCCCTGTTGTTGTGCGGTTGTTGCTGAATGCAGTCTACTACTTCTTATCTTGAATCTTGGTCAGAGTGTCAATGGAAATCAAATATTTATGTTGGTAATTCTTGATGCCTAGCACCCCCTTACATATCAAAGTTATTGCTTCTTTATTTCCTTTACAGTTGTCCTCCACAGTGGTTTGTTCATCTTCTAGTAGATTTGTAAGGCCTGGAACTTGTTACTGAGAGTTATTTTGAATTAACTGAGTATGTTAGCACCTCGAAAGGAGGCTATATTTGACTTCGTAGTGCTCTTTGACAATTATCCAATGCTTCTTTAACTTCAGGCTTAGCTCGGCCACAACGAGGTGGTGATAAGAAGCTATATACGTTCGTCTCTTTATTCTTACGCATTCCATGAACCTGAATTTTTAATTGATGCAAATTCAATCGCTCTGGTTTTCTGTACTGTGGTTTAGTGACATCCCTGTGGCGTTTTACATGCGTTTGTGGGGAAAATGTTACCACCTATAGATATGTTATTGAAAGCAAAGATGTCCCAATTTTTCGCCATTCCGTTCCTTTCAAACAGTTTATGTCACACTATCAAGGCTTCATACCCGGTATTATCTATTCCGACCTTGGAGTCTAGGTTCTCTATCACGATGGGCTGGTATTTTCCTGGACAGTCCTCTCAGATGCAGTGCAGCCTCTTTGTTGCTATTATTCTTGGGTGCATAGCACTGAATGACATTCACTCTAATCCCTTCCTTCTTTGTTTTACAGGGTAGATGCTTTGATCTTTCAGCCATGTGATTCCTATTCTATAAGTCCTTTTCGTACTTCTTTGAACACCACCAGACCAACTCCTTGTGTGGTAGTATTTTTTTCCTCATGACCAGTATACAATAGCACCTCCTCTCCCGAAGCTAATCTCTGTACAAATTGTGTTCAATAGACTTCACGTACTTAAAGTAGATCCCGGTTTTGTCATCACACTTCTGTCACCATTTGAATGATCTTTCGAGTCTGCTACATTTTCCGGACATTCTATGTACCTATATTAACTCCTATTTTGATTGTTAGAAGAGGGATAAGCCTTATAGCTTTCGAAGAGTCACAGCTTTCATCATTAGATGTCATAACGTTTTTATATGAAGACCTTGCAAATCCCAGTGCAGAGTAAATGGTTTAAATGACCATTTCTGGTTGGTGTTTTTTGAGCAACGTCCTCTCTTACCAAATACGATTGCTAATCTTACACCCAACCCTCCTTCACCTGGGTTGGGACCGGTAGTAATTCCAGAAGGGTCCCGGGAGGAGCCATTCTATTATTATATTACTCTGAATAGTTGAAAAAAACAATTGGTAAATTTATCTTGAAAACTTGAATATACTCATTTTTCAATAACTTACAATTTCAAGGAATTTGTTAATTAGTATCATTAGCTAGTTTTAACAAAATACAATAAGTATATTTAAAGTTGTTCATTAAAAATTTCGTTCAGTAAAACAATAAACTATTTGAGTCGACCAAAATTGTCAATTTACCTATCTCTACTAAATTATACCAAAGACAGTAAGAAACTTTTCGATGGCAATAGTAAAACCGAGTAAAATAAATTGAAGATTAAATATTACACATGATTAAGGAAAATAATCAATTAAAGATCTCAAAAACTTACTTCGAACGCCATAAAAGACAAGCGTACGCAACAGCCGCGACATAATCAGTAGAGAAGCATATTACTATAATGGAACAAAATGAAACAATAAGAAATGTTTGGATGTTCACTATTGAACTAAAAGTAGGAAATAATCAACGTTATTATTAATCTAAAGATCCACATACGATGTATATATTCCCAAAGTACATGCGAAATTATAAACAATGTAACTAAAATAAGTTTGTATGTCAAGTGATCATAACCCATTAAGTTGCCATAAAGAAGTTGATTACACTTAGAAACTACCGATTCATTGGCTCTTTAATAGTCTCTAGCACATCAACATCAGTAAATTGTTATTCATAAAATTCACCCCTCAAAATTTAACTGAAAATTACACATTTTTCAAAAAGATCTAAAGAATATTCAATGTTAATCTACGTTCAGATACTGCTTATAATAATACATACATATTCTAGCTAGTTCACTATGTAACCATAATACATATTAAAGATTAATAATGGCAATCTCATGGTTATGAAATCAAATTGGCTAATTAAACTTTTATCTCACAAAGATAAAAGTTCACTAAAGTCAATTGTAGTTTCAAGGATTGTTCACATGTCTAATAATAAACAAACAAATTATTTTATTTATTTATTTGGACACATAAATATTAGTACAAGAGGGCAACAAATACATATGCGCAACACCATATTTGTGTGTGTGCGTGTGTGTGTGGGTAGTGATACTGCCCGGGTGCCCAGACCGAAGCAGGTGGTTCTCTTAGGGGGCCACACCCGGAGCTTTTGACCTAAAGGTGTGATCCACAAGGCAGTAGAGCAACGTCAGGAGATGCAGTCCCATGGTAGCCAGTGACCAACAAAAGGTTCATACGCCATTTGTTCCTCCAAGATACTGGAGCCCATGTCCACCATTGGTTCGGGATCCGGTTAAAGCGCCGGATATTCGCTTTTCGTCCTCTCATTTTCGTAAACAACACCCCCGCCACGAGAAGGGAGTGAGTATGACTTCCCTGGCAGAGACTGTATACGCGTGGCCGTGTGAAAGCATTACGAGAGGGGGGAGGGCCCACCCCAATCTCGGCCATACCAGGGCATTTGCGGGCAAATAAACAAATAATATTCAATAGATATTTAGTTAGATGAACAATAATGGAAGAAATAGGTACTTGACAATTTAATAAATTGTTAAATACAAAATCCATACAAACCAATAGTGTCATGTTATGAAACATTAAAAATCTTTATTTAAAAAAAATCAGATGAGTTCAAACTAATCAATAGTGTAATTTTTCATGTTCATGTTACTTAATGTTGAAATATGACAACAAAAGATACTTCTAAGAAATGAGATAATCCAAAAACGTATTCAGTTCAATAAAGTCAATCATAATAAGGAATTACATTCAACAGTATTATAATAAATATGTTCACCTAGATAACGATGAACAAATAAATCTTTAGAAATAGATCGTAATGTTTAAGATCGAGAATTTCTTTGAAACATCATCAAGTTAACTACCATTTTCACACTTAACTCAAACTACATCTATCTCATTTTAAGCTCACATAACCATTATAAATATTGTCATTTTCAATTGTTTGAACTGCAAGGTTGAAATTTCAAAATGGAGTGGTCAGTGATTATAGGATTTCGTAGTGTACTTTTAACTGTTTTATTATTTGACAAAAGTTAACAACTAATAGATCAAACTCTCACTAAGATTTTTTAATGGATTGAACTTTGATGACTTTTTCTGAGAAGTTACTGCGTACATTTATACAGTATCAGCTGTCTAGGCATTTGTTTTGATAATTACATTTCACTGTGCTGATATGTGGCAACTTGAACTGATGTACACATCCAGTAAGTTCTACGTTACTTATGACTGCTGTTTACAGTATATTATTTGTAATATATTATTCAGTGATTTCTTGTAAATAAATATACTCACACTGTGCCAGTGACACAAACTAGTGACTTATGAGTGGACATAAGTGTTGTAAGGGACTCAACTGATTACATTAATATAGAAATTTCAATAATTAATCAGATACAGTCAATAAAACTAGCCACTTGAGCTAGCTAACTAACTTCTCACAAATAATAAAACAAATACACATATACATTACTGTTTACTCGACAATTTGAGAGATTACCTCTTATGGTATTCGAGTATCTTTCTAAGAATTTGTTATTTTCACTTCCTATGTTCACAATAGACTAGGTGATTTCTGAGAAACTGAGCCTTAAGATATCAACAGTTCACGAAGGTAGTGTCAAATTTAGCACCAAGTTTATTTTTTAACGCCTGCCACAGGGAAACCGTATTAATTGAGTGAATAGGACAACTCTCTTCAATGCAGTACGAAAAACTGAGTAATTATTATTTAGTACCCATATGAAGGTTTCTATCCTAAGCTACAATATATAACAATTGAAGACATCATTGAAACTAACCTCCAAGTTAAATAGAGTCAAGTGAACCGACTTTCTGTTGGCACCTTAGAACTGAGTATTAACATTAGTGAGCCGATTTTTAATGTATATTGATAACATTACATTCAAAGATATAAAAAAGATGTAGCATAGGATTTGTGTATTATTTCAAAAATAGTGTTGCGTTTGTTAAAAGTCGATACTTTTAACTCAACAACAAAGTTCATTTACTTAGCTTATCATCAAACTTACCATACAAGGGCTTATTATATATACTACATTGTAAAAATGAAGTGCGTGGGGGGGAATGGTCAAAAGTTAAGGTAGCAAAAGCTAACAAAGATCAAATGACTTTACCAACTACGAAATTCAACTCTCCAGATGAACACTTACTTGATATAGTTTTTGTTCGCCACAAGGGAGATACACTAGTCTCACCGATAAACACTACTAATGGTAAGATAACAATCCACAGGAGATAACCAGCGGCAAATTGCATTGTATTAATATTTGGCCCCAAGATACATAAATCCATATTGTACGACTCCGAACAAATCTGTGCTATAAAATGCCTGCGTCCTACAACTACCAATATCCAGAACACTAGGCAAATTCTTAAGGCTAACAATAAGCAACCAGGTACTGTATTCCAAACAGAAAAATCGATTACAGGGTCTCTATCAAACTAAAAGAGATAAGAAAAAATGAACCATTACAGAGAATGTCTTACAAGTAATTTAATAATTTTAATTGAATTAAGTCTAGTCACAAGAAACGTTGCACAATAATTTTATCATCAGAGAGTGACTTAAAATGGAGTTGAATATATTTGCTCGGTGATGATTCTATAAGTTGTCCTCAATGTACTATCTTTTGTAATCTATTTAGTTATTTAATCTAATAAGAATTTACGAAGAGAACTAACTCTATGCACAGTCAGTGGATACACAGTTGAAACAATTAATCATCTCCGTTTTTAAGCAACGTTAACACAATTAAGTCAAGTAATAACAAGAGACCAACCGCGAATGTTCGTCAATATAAGTTTTCTTCAAATCAGTATAAAGGAAAAAACAATTGACAACATGAAAGGCAAACAAGTCAAAATAACAATTTTAATCATAGTAAAAACTAGGAATATAGGAAATATAGTTTGGGAAGAATGATTGGAATCGGAAAAAGGAAAGCATTGATTAGCATTAAAACTCAAGATTTAGAAAAAGTTGAAGAATGAATAGTATTCCGATTGAATTTAAACCATTTCACCAAAAGTATTCCCGACTACGGATTACAAAATATGTAATTTACAATGAGGTTGATAAACCCACTGTAAACCAATAAATCATACTTTAAACTACCACTGGTGAAATCTTTAAGTTTTTTTTCTATTGAAAAATTAGTGATGTTCTTTAAGTTGAAACTGATAATTTTACAAATAAATCACTCAACTCATGAAATAAAATATCTCCATAATAATACCTTCTAATAAACAAAATGCTATAGCAGTTACCTGACTGGTTGTTGCCATCTACAATAGTTATTGATAAGAGAAAGGATCTTGCATAATGAACAAAAAGAACTTGTATTAAGTCTCGTTAATGAGAATAACAAATGAAAAGTTTCTCCAGAATAATAGTAATAATAACTAAACCTTCAAATAATTTGATCATAAAATAACCAAATTTTTACAAAAACTAATTACAATAAAATTTCTTTTATTTTTTCCGAACTGAACTTATTGGAAAATGTTGACCATTCAATGTTAATCCTTATGATCCTATGTTAATACTATGGAACTGATGGTAGAGAATGATAATTGGTTTAAAATCATCAAAATGAAGACTCTGTATGCGTTTTTTCTTTGTGACTAAGCAACCCACTACAGATGGGAGTGTTTGGTTAAAGTCACAATTTGTGTGACAGACAGAAATACTGAAGGACTTCTCAAATTAAAATAACTGCGCTAAAGCCCGAATCTCTTTACCCTATCCCAATGATTAAAAATCAAAATACTTCAACAAATGAGCTACCACTTAAATTGATATGCACAAAAAGAACAGATAAAGTGAAATTCTACTCCACCACTTCAAAAGCTCGCGAGCAATGAGAAGTTGGCTGTCACGGAAGTGAATTCTCGGTTATAAGGTCGATTAAAAAGGGATAAGCTTGTCTAAATCATTGGACAAACAGAAGAGTCAGAAATCTGGTCAAAGTAATAAGTTACAAAACACTGACAATTTACTTGAATCTTTAAAAAATCACCTAAGATTTTTGTTTTACATCAAATATTGACCAGAAACTGTTCACTCTCCAATTGGTGATTGATAGTTATCATAAAGATAAACACTTAAATTATAACTAGTGAATAACTTAATAAACACCAAGTTTATATTACAACTGTAGAAATATTACAAGTAATCGTTATTAGCAATCAATATAGTCTGAGTCTTTCACAAACAAAATCCAAACATTTCGTCCATCGTAGTTTTTTTCTAAGAAAATAAATGTACATTCATTGAGATTCTACTTCCGACATGTATTCAAGGCATCTCTCGTATATGACTATTGGTCAGTGTTACTTATGCTTCAGGATCATATCAGCTGCAAGCTTTATATCAAATTCTAGCGCTACAATGAGTACAACAATACATTTCACACAAGTACATACAAACATTAAGAGGGAAAAGTATGAACTAAAAGTAGTAGTATCGACAGTAGCAGAAAATGAAAAAACTCACCATAGCCCATATATACAGTAAAGTTTTGACTCCGACCAACAGAGTAACCAATAAAAGTACATATGGCCAAAATGATGTGGACTTTTCCTGATTAGTTGATGGCCTAGCATAAATATTTTCTTGGATAGGATCGTAACTGTACAATTTATGACTAAATTTACCAAGATGGAGGAATCCGGTTGGTAAAGTGGAAAAAACTTTGGAGGTTAGTGGACGAAGAGCTTTGGAAGTATCACAAGATTGGAATGCGATTGACGGACATTGAGGACTGAAACCCATTTGACATGTACACAATAGGACAGCTAGGAACACTGAGTCTGCCCATTGTGTAATTACTGTTCCCAGCTCTGAAATCAGACCTAGTCCCAGACCATCGAATGAAAAAACACCCCAGTGAACAGCAGCCAACAGTGTTCCCAGACTAGCCAACCAAAGATGAGTAAGGTAGAGGCAAACATGAAGTGAACGGTTGTTGGCCAGTTTGATCTGCATCAAGCGAAACAAAATTTCTTAATAACAATAAAACAGAACAACGATAATAAGTCGTCTACATTATTCTACAAAAAGATCACCGGTTAAACTAGGAATTATTTTGAGTGTAAATGTAATCAATAAAGAACTGATGCCAGTAGAGAAAAAAATACAAGTGTTATTAACATCATCAATAAAACAATATCCACGAACGAATCAAGGAATATAGCCATATACGAATGGGCAGAAAAAAATGAGCATCTTGATTAACAGATGCTTTTTCTTTTGATATATTACAAAAGGGTTTTGTGTTTGGGGATGAGAAGTGCATTTCAAGCATTCCAGCATTGTTATTTAGCATTCAGAAGATTGGATCAAATCGGGATATTCACTTATTATGACGGTGCTGCATACGTGGTTCTCGATGCATGAAATCCAAATATATATTAGAAAATTTAATCAAATTGAGTAATGGGCAACACTAATGAGCAAATCTTGATATAGTCACGTTAGATCATATTTAACTGTGAACTACAACCCCACCACGAATTTTTAAGTAAAAAGCCTTCAGTAATATGGTTTCCTTGCAAAGCACCGACCTCGATGTAGCAGAACTTTATAAGTTTTTCTTAATCAACAGTGTTATGTCTTCAAACAAAGGAATATAGTTAGAGCCAGACGTAAACCACTAACCGAGTATTCGTACCAATAATTCTCGATTGAGATAGGCGTTGTTTCCATAACTTTCATCTTCATCAGCCAACAATTTTAATTCTTAATAATCTCCTCCTCGAATTTTTTAACTGTGCGCGTACCGTTGAATAAGGCGCTTGCATTCTAGAAAACTGGTTCTCAAGGACACCAAAAAATTCTAGAACTGCCTGTTCATTTTCTCTTGTATCAAAGTCGATTGGAGCAAAGGGTACACCATTTGTTTTCCTTTGTTTTTTAAGTAGTTGAGGTACAAGTACAAGATTGGCTGAGGTATTTTGTGTTGCAAGAACCCTTGTGCTGATATTTTGATTGGCGTAGTATGTGATGATAACGCCCTCATTTAAAAACACCTATGTCTACACTGCGTAATAGTAATATACAACAACTAAAACATTTCAAAAATAGCTCCTTCACTTCTTTCCAGCAAACAATACTAGTAAGTCATAGAGTAGTTTACTTTATTTAAATTATTTGCTAGTTTTTAATGAATTGTTACTAACCATATATTACGAGGGATATTTAAAAAGCTTAAACGAATGTTCTTTTCTCTAAATATGTAACGACGCCTAATTCAATACAATATTTGAACATAATGATAAATTATAAACAGCCAGTTAAAACGTACATGTGTTGTTATATTCAAAATAATATAGAGTGACAGGAATATAAAAAACATTTGTGCGATTCCATGTGTTTCAAAAGAGAAATGATGTTCAAATTGATTGAAAGACTGTAATTTTGGTTCACCATTAACAAGCCATATATCATAAATCACTGTTAATAAGGAATAAGTTGATGACGATGATAATGATGAATTTGAATGACGAGGAATTGCAGTAGTCTCCCATTTACATGTAGTTAAATTACGTTTACATGCGACCAAACTCAAATACCAATAACTTTATATAAAAGGGAAAATAAATCTAAATTCAAATTACACTAATCAGTGAAAAACCATTTCGAAAAATTTCATTTCTTCTAGATTACGTCAACTACCAAATTAAAAATGAACTTTGCCAATTACCATAAGACGGAGCAAATTGCAGCTACTCAGCTACCGAATAAATTTATTTATATTCTAAATACTAACTTGAAGGATGAATCAATACAAAATTCTGGTAAATGTTACATTTTACTTGTAAAAGACATATAACAAAAATATATGGTGCTTTTAACTTTACCGTATATAACCGTATTATCATCTAATGATAGGTAGCATTCATTGACACTTTTTACTGCGTTCATTTTTGTGGATAGTATGAACGAAGCACAAGACTTACTTATCACACATTGTTTCCTACTATATAAATAAATAATTCTTAAGTCAATATAGAAAGCTTGGGATAATCTTGTTATGAATTCAAAAATACTGCATCTCATTTAAAAATTTTTCTTCTAACATGAATTTTGCTTTGATTTTATTAATCTTCATCTCAAAAATCTTAGCTATTGTTTGCAGAGAGTTACCAAAAAATTTCCGTTTACTTTGGTGTATGAAACTTTTTTATTCAATCTATCTGACACATTTGGTCAATCAAAAACCAACCAAATGATAAGTGAACGTGATTGGTCAAGGAATGGGTTGTATCTATACGATATATATAAATATATATATATATATATATATATATATATATATATATAAATATATATGAGTACGTACATTCTCGTCTAGACTTATTCAATAAGCTTCCTTCTCACTACCAGTCTTTTCACTCAAGAAGTCAGTTGGACTCGTGTATAGGAAGATTACGTATCAGTATCGAATTTCGAGACCAAACGTCACAACGCTATCCAATTCACGAGTACTTTGAAATCATTTTTAAGATTGCCTCATGTTTTAGAACAAATGTAGGTAAAAGACAACATAAGAACAAGTTCAAGCGTAATGAAATGTTCGCTAATTGATATCGAAATCCAAAGGAAATTCGAAAAACAAATAATAGTACTAAGGGTGATGAAGAATACAAGGACGACGGAAACAGGTAAACACAGGAAATTAAAAGCAACAAACAGAACGTTCAAAAACAGAAGAAAATCAGTGAACGATAATCAGTCACTGCATAGTGACTAGTTACTAGTACTGGTCGAATTACACAAAGTTTGTAATGTGGTCAATAAGTGAGTATGTATTGTGATGCAGTTGGTTTCATGTTGCGTAATTGATGCCAGCCGGTGAAAGCTTTAGGACTAAGTTTTTGGCTTGTTGGGATTTATCAACACGCTAAACGGCGAAAACATTAGACATTGTAGATCGGTTTCTATGCTGACAGTGATTCAGACCGCGAAAATCCCTCACCTAAGATGAACAATCAAAAATATGAGTTTCTACCTGAAACTACCCACAACTTTAGCTGCATATAAAAAATCATCCCATTTATTTGAGGAATGCACATGTACATATCTGAGCTATACCTTTCAAAATAATCAAAATAGGAATTATACACAACAAATGGTTGAGTGAAGTTTGTTTACATACATTCATGTAATTAATTAAATCGACTCATTCTCCAGGTGCTTGAGTATGAGCCACACTTCAAGTATGAAGGTTAGTGAAACTCCCTGGTTGCCCGAATCGAAACAAGTGGAACGAGGTCCGAACCTGGAACTTAGTGACTGAAAGTCAAACATCCGAACTACTAAGTCACCGCCAACGATTTATTCAATGGTACGGATGTAACACGGACATATATATGTACGCAGTGGGATTGACAATGAAATGTGAAACAGAAAAAATCCATAAACAAATAACAATAATTTAGTCATTTTGTACTATAAGGTTTTATTAGTAATATATTACCTATGGTTTTTATGAGTTAGATGAGAAAAGTTGGTAAGATGAAGCATGTTTTCTCCAGTTTAACTGGTTACAATTTCTTACTCGATAACGTGAAAATTGACAGAATAACAAAATAAAATACTAGGCATCTTAAAATGGCAGCAACTACACATGTCTTTGGTACACCTAATACTTAAACAATATCCAAAGTATTTAATTGTGACTACCTTTTCATACAATAACATTACAGGATTTCTAAATTATCACTTCCAATAAAATACAATAAACAATGAACCAGTTGTTTGATTTTAAGTACAATCGAAACAAAATTAGATTGATTGAATTTCA